TACGTACGAAACGAAAACTAATAAGTAGTTAACTTTTAACGTTAACGTACGACTTAATTTTAACTTTTTACTTTACTATAGATACATAATACTACTCTCTCTCTCTCTCTCTCTCTCTCTCTCTCTCTCGCACACAATACGAAACATATTTAGAAACTCAAAGAATCTGTCTTTTGACTTTATATAACTATGAAACTACTCACCTTAGTTCGATATTCTAAGTAGTGAGAACTTATTTTCTATCTTCTAATTCATAAGGAAAAAGTTTATCCATATTTATATGCGTTCCCTTCCAAAAGAAAATCTTAGCGATGAATTTCGGATCTAAGATTAGTGAGACTCTCAAAATCTGTAAATTAAAATGGAAATTAAACAAAATGTAATTTTCAACTATTTAATAGTGGGCACGGTTTTGTAGAGCCGAGGCTCTAAATAATCAAAGTAAAGCCCACCTTCAAATAGTGTCGAGAAATGTGGTATCAATACTAGATATCTTTGTGATAGCCTTAAAATATATTTTCATATTTAATTATAAAATTTAAAAGTTTAAAAATAGTGTAGATTGAGTAGATCTATGAAAACTTGAAAATCTTCCAAAAGATGCGTTGCAAGATGCATTATTTTCAAAACTTGAAATCCATTTTTCTCTCATGTCCATGCATCTCGTTGTCGAGATGACCAATTTTAGGATATTTGGGCATCAAAACAATCTTTCTAGTAAAATTTTTGGAGTGAGCTCTAATTTGATTGTTTAAAGCTTGGGCTCTATATAAATTTCTCCTTCAATATTTGACCCTTTTCTACTATTCGGCTCAAAATCATGTATATTTCATGGGCTTTTCGAATTTAAATCCACACATATCCGGGTAAAATGTTAAATAGTCAATGTATAGTCCAAAAACTTGAACAAAAACGCAATTTCGAAAATCTACTTTTAAAGATTCAATATTTATTTTTTCAGATTATAGAACTGATAAATTTTAGCTGCAAAATCAATCCAAATGAAATTTGGAATGGGATAAGTCCCACTAAAGAACCAAAGCCCCATCTTTTATTAAAGCCACCATGAACAAGAATTTTTCAATGAATCACTTCAACTATTATATAAGTTTGGGAATAGTTGAGATCACTCAATGCTATCATAAAGTATATTTTTAGGAAACTGAGTGCACAACAATACCAAACCAAGCAAAATCTGCTCTCTCTCTCTCTCTCTCTCTCTCTCTCTCTCTCTCTCTACTACTACTACTACTACTACTACTAACTACTACTACTACTACTACTTACTTACTTACCTTACTTACTTAACTTAACGTTAACGTAAACGTAAAACGTAAAACGTAAACGTAAACG